CTTTGTTAGTTAACTATGTTGGTTTTAAATTATTTTAAGTGCTATAAGTTGCGTTAATTTTCTATGCTTCAGTTCCCTTCTTACTTTATCAGCAAAAATTTATTAGTGAATAAAAGATATGAAAGTAAAAATTATCCTTCTTTCCATCTTGCGCCCACAAATCATCATGAGAATACCCATTTACAATTATGAAAGCCTGAAAAAAGCATGCGATGTTATGGTCATGCGATTTGCAGATACTTTATTTTTTACCACGATATTTTTGACCGTGATGTTTTTAAACTGTGAAGTTTTTGAACCGCTTTATTTTCCACTACAATGTTTTAGAATTGCGATGTTTTCTCTTCGCAATGTTTTCTCCCACGGTGTTTTGTAGCACGACGTTTTCGCCTTGTGTTGTTTTCTCTGCGACGTTTTTGTCCGCGGTGTTTTTGCCGTGATGTTATCGGCGGACACCCATAATAGCATAACTTAAGTTATAAACTGATAAAACAACAGAAGTTTTTCTATGTGAATAATATCTACATTTTACAGATAACTTGTTTGAATCAAGAAAATGATTGAAATGTTTCATATAACTAGCTGAATACAATTTTTCTATTATTTCTTATTGCCTGTATTTTTTCTTGTAAAGTTTCCTTAAGCTTTCTGAATCTAATCAATTTCTATTTTATAAATTTTTGGAAGAAATTTGCCGAGTTCTTTTATTTTCTATATTTCTTAGATTAGGAATTATTCTTTGTATCCACATATAGCAAGCTGTAAGTCAGTATTTTTATTTCTGTGAAAAAATTTGAATTGTTTTTAACATCAATTTTAGATTTGGGTGTATGAAAAACCACCTAGCTTATCTTTCAGCCACAGGCTTTCTTCCTGAGAAATTTATTCAAGGCCTTTCCATTACATATCATTTCCATTACATATCATTTCCATACAAATTTTTCTATATGGTTCGCTTACAGTTTAATCTACAAGATTTTTATTTTCTGAGCAATGCAATCAAATTAGCTCTGATTTTGATTAAATTCCTCTACAACAATTTTGGGCAGATGTTTCTAGCTTCTTTAAACATCATATCAAATGAAGGTCTGTCATAAAATCAGTCCAAAATTGTCCTTAAAACATTTTTTAAAATAGAAGATGCTTTTGAGCATATTCAAAAATCTCCTTCTAACTACAATTGACATTGAATCTAATCTTAAAAATATCAGTTTTTTAAAAAAGAGCTGCTATACATTTCAAATGAATGATATGTTTACCTTTCCTTTATCATTTTATAATATGTAGAGATAACAATTGGATATGCTTTCTTACTCATATCAACAAAGCAGTGAAACTGTATAATATCTTTCATGATTATGCTCAGTCTTTTATAGAATCTGGAAAATTCAGTTTTCTTTATTTTTCTAATTTGTCATATCATTTTATCTAGGATTTTTCTAAACTAGCAGTAATGCTTTATTTTATTTTCCTTTACTAAAGTTCTATTTTTGCTGCAGCAAGAAGTTCAGTGTAAGTGTAAAGCAAACAAGATCCAATGTTTTCAGAGTGATTTTCGATACCAGTTATTTTGTCCAATTTTTTTATCAATTCATGCACTGTCCCAAAATGATTCCAATATCTATTTTTAACGTGTTCTTATGTGAATCCAAGAGATATCATAAGATCTTCATATTTGATAAGGACCTCAGTTATGTTTTTAGTTTTGCTTAACTTGCAGTGTAATTAATGCTTTAGAATTTGTTCTCCACATGTACATTTTAAATTCACCTTCATGTAAAATGTGTTTTATTTTATAGTAAATTTTCAAAGCAGTGTGTTCATCATCCAATCCATAAATTAAATCATCAATGCATAAGTGAAAATTGTAATATAAAAATCAAAATTTACATCCCTTGATGTGATACTTTTGAGTTGCTGTTAACAAAAATGGAGAATATCGTGCTGCAGAATTACTCTGTTCATTCTCAAGTTTCTTAGATTAATATCCATATTGGGATGGGAAAACATCCTGAATCCATCCATAAGAAGTGTACAGTATCTATATCTTCAAGTGCTATTCCAATCTGAAGAAGAGCTTTGTCTGAAATCATCTTTTTATTTTACTTTCAACCTCACCTTCTGAAATTTGGGAACTGTAAAGTTTTTAGAAGTTTGTATCTCCTTTAAATTTCTTAATGTACATTAGGAACTAAATTCCATGACATCATAATTGACATCTAATCCCAAAAAGAGTTTTACGTAATATTAATTTCAAAAACTATATTTTTTTCAAATCTCTTTATCAGTGTATCTTATTCTTAATTTGATAATTGGTGCTTTTCCTAATTTATAATTATAGAACAGAATAATCATGTAAAGAATAATCATGTAATCATGAAAAGAAAACTCTATAAATCATGTATTAATTATTTGCATATTTCATAGATGGTGTCCATAATTCTTAAAGTTCTCACCTTTTTTGTGAATGATTTTTGCTCCTTGGAAGTCCTTAATTTCAGGTCAAAATTTGCTTATCTAACATTTCTATTGACTTTCTGTGATTTAGTCTAAATTAACATTTTAGATGAATGTGAAATTCAGTCAGTCCACATGGCTTGAAGCCTCTACAAACTAATATTGTGAATAATGAAGAACAAACAACTATTCTGAAGCAAAAGTTTCAGGGTGTCTGATTGGTTATTCATCCGACCTTTCGAATTAGTTGTTATCGATAAAAATGCATTGCATAAACGTTTTTGGATTTCAACCTTAATCTTATAAAACTTCCAAAATTCAACATGCACTTAAAGATTGACAACATTTGTAGTATGCTGGTTAATCCTGTGTAGGTCTGAGGTGGGTACGTTTATCCTTGTCATAATTTTTTTTTTAAGTAACTAGCATTATTTTTATATTTATTACTGCAATGCTTCAGTCTATATGAAAGAATGAGCTTCATGAAGATCAAACTTTGACCCAACTTTGTTTCCTAAAATAGTATTATAACGTTCTAGTTAAATTTATGGTCTTTGTAAGCTAGAGTACTTGTGAACTATGTAGTCAAGTATCGTAGAGTTCACTACTGTAAATGAAAGTCTAACGAAGGGTTAAATTATCCTTTTATTCAACTCAAATATGATTCACAGATGGCCCCTCTCAGGCTTACAGGAAGCCTCCTCTTGAGCTCTAATTTAAGATAGAAAATAAGAAACAAATCTAATTGTAACTGAACTAAAACCAGCTGAAGCACTAACATAGTTGACCCTTATTGAATATCACCAGAAAATACTAACAGGCATGTAACAATACAGCCAAACATAGTAAGATTAGCAATACGGCTGAACATAGTAAGATTAAGCTTAAAGCAATGGCATGGCCTGGAGGGAGAACACGCTGTACCAAGAACTCCTAAGTTCTTCTACTGAAGTGGCCATGACTTCAACTTAAATTTTGGTTTTACCTCATTACATACAACGCGAGATTGAAAACTCATTCTGGCAAGGAATTGTAGGTGGAAATTAAGAAAGTAAATGACAGCTTATTCAAATATAGAAATAGCTATTAAAATAAACCCATACAGTTTAAAAAAATAAATAAGAATCACTATATCTGAATTTTGGTCTGATATCACATAAACCAGTAATATAAAAAAATATGTCTACAGCTCTGACTTATCTTTCAGTTGTTCTTTTACTGCTTCTTGGAATATGTGCTAAGTATACATACTTAGTATCTCCAGAAGTCAGATTACCTGCATCTGGCACATATTTTATTACTAAATAAATGGGCACAGCTGTGTGGTCTAATTTATGCAGCAGAATATTGGCCTTTAAATGCATTTTTACATATCCTGTTTTTTCACTTGAAAACTACTGACAATTGTAGTCTGTCACTTAATCCTGTGTGAACCTAGATGAGTATCTTTTTAGTCTTCCATATACACAAATATTGCATTATTTATACTTGATGATTTGAGTACACTCTAAAGTACAAACTCCTTTTTATCTGCTATTTTTCTTTTCTGAGATCACCCATACTGGTAAAAAAAAAATTGATAGCTAAGTTGAACTATGTGATTTGAAAACAAAAAGAAAAAAAAATGTGTGCTTATTCCACAGTTTGTAACATGACTGAATATATTAAGTGAGACATTTGGTGTGGCTTGAGTGAGTAGGTACATGTAAGAGAGAGACAAAGATTCTGAATAACATGCAGAAATCCAATAAAGGTGAGCATCACACAGCATTAAACAAATTAACTTTGAGTGCTTACTTTGCACCAGTTTTTGTTCAAAAAAGTTCACAAATAATATTTTCCCTTAATTGCTATTATTCATCAGTTTTGCTTTTATTTGTATTTATTTCATAAATACAAAAATTACATATCCCTAACTATATATAATGTACCAACTGCAAATCTGCATCTTCTAGGCCAAAATAAAATCTAGTGGTAGTGATGAAAATTTGTAGTAATATGAAGGTTATGATTATCTATATTTCTTTTTGCTATTTTATTCAAATAATAATATATTTTAAAATATTTTCATAGTTCTTTGTTTACATCTTTCTTTTCTCAAAAAGAAATGGAAAAAAAAACCCCTCAGAACAGATTCCCTTTTAGTTCAGTTGTGTAATAAATATATGTAATTTTATTCAATAGTAACTAATTTTTGTTTCTAAACTTGAAAGCACTACCAATTATTTTTATTTCAGAAGTGAAATTCGGATTTTAAAAAGTTTTTTTTGAAAGTATATTTTTTTAATTGAGATATAGATAGTAATCAGATGGCAAGATTTTTTTTTAATAGAAAATTGGTATTTTTTGTAGTTTAGTTTTATAAATGTATAATGTACTTATTTTTAATTTTTATTGACAATTTCTAATATATTTTTTAGTTTTAATTATTAAATTTATAATTTTCTGATATAATTACTAAACTTATGATTTCTTTTTAGTTTTAATTATTAAATTTATAATTTTCTGATATAATTTTTAAATTTCTATTGTCTAATTTCCAGGTGAATTTCTAACTCAGCTAAGTTGGCAAGGTTTAGAGCAGCATTTGGGTGAAACTCCAGTTCCGGAAATTCTTGAAGGAAGAAAAGGCATTGCATCTGCATATGAAGATGAACTCAGTGATAAAAGCAAATGAATTCATTATGTGTGTTTTTATAAAAGTTGAGAATATACTACATATTTGTATACTTACAAGATATATTTAGAAAACTTTTGTATTTTCTTAGATATAACAAATAACATTTTTTCATTGATATGTGTGAGTGTATATGAATGTGTGTATAAATGTAATGAATATGTTTCAGAGATTAAAACTACGAAGGAAAGGTATATAGAAAGAGGGCAATTTCATATTTCATAGGGGAGTAAAAAAGAACTTCGTACATTTTATAGGAGTTCAAAAGGCCATGACGAAAAGATGGGACAAAATAAAATTAAAAGAAATGGCCCAAATGTAATAGAAAAAAAAAGGGGGCCTATAGAAAGGAAAGGAAAAGAAATAGAAAATTTCCTAAAATATGATTGTGCCCTTGAGTGTAAAGAAAAGGGGAGGAAGCTGTGTTCATTTGCAAAAACGAGTGTCTTAAGAAGCAAACTTTAGCTAAGTAAAAAAGTCCTAACAATTCCAGTTCCAATGTTAAGCCATGAGTAGCTTGCAAATTTGCTCGCTTTGATCTGGCTGTCATCACATAAGTTGCTACTACGAGCGATGCAGTGAGTTGAATGCTCAGGGTAGGTCTGGAGGACAAACTAGGAGGTGAAAGGGGCGTGACCAATAGTCACATGTGACGCGGCGAGGCATCGGGTTGGCTGTCCAAGACGAAGTATTTAAAATCTTTTACATGCAATATCAAAAGAATATTGTGGAAGCATGACATGAAGATGGTGTAAGTCCTAACATGGTGTTTGCCTTTATCTTGAGACCTAACTCCAAAAGACACATAACATCACAGAGATGTATATATGTATTATTTTAACTGAAGTAACATTAACTATTACCGTTCCCAAAAAATTCATGTATATTTCAGAAAAACAGCATTTGACAAATCATAAATCCCTAACACAGTAAGAGAGCACATCAGCAAAAATAAATAAAATAATAGAGTTTATTATTTTAGTATTAATTAATTATAATATTTATTTATTAATTTACCCATCATAATTTATTTTAGTACTAGTTTAACAAATTCATGCACACTGTATTTATATTTGTTTATAATTTGTTTGAGAACTGAAAAAAGTCGAGGGAGGATCGTAGTTACACATATGACAATCTAATACATTCATGTATGCTCAACATTCCCATTTTCCCTCTCAAGAAATTCCTAAGCAAGAAAGGGGGGGCCTATGAAGGGTAGCTGTTTAGGGACTGCTGATAAGAAGAGCTACTGATAAGGAATGTGACGTCTCTACGGAATAGTTAGGAAAAAAAGAACCACATGACTTAAAGCAATTAGTACTAACTATTGTGTAATGTTAGAATCTTATGAAAATAACAAATAAATCACTTTAATGCTTGAGTTAAAAGCACTTTAGTGATAGAGAATTTGATTTTGTGTAGATATTATTATGCTTTAAAATGTATGAATAAATTGCAGTTACAGTTTTACATCTCGTATTTCGTATTTAATTATCATGGACTCTTAAAACTCTTCTTACTGTATTTAAAGTTATCAGGTAATAAAAGAAAATGAATTCATTATATTATCTAATTTTGCATGTTTAAAATTAGAGGAAACAGCAATCTTATTTTGGCGTATATTTTGAATAAAACTATCAATTTTGTTTGCAATTACATACGAGCCCTCCTTCTTTAGGAAAGAAATGAACTGATGCTCCAAGAGGCATTTATTTGCAAGTATTAACCTATATTTTGAATTTTTGCCCTTAGGTGTTCAGAGCTGTAGCTAGGGTTTTAAGTGCCTTCTCAGCAGCTGAACATTTCGTGGGACTTCCTTTTTCTGAAGAATGCAAATATTTAATTCTAAAGTTTCGTTACATCAATCAATTTGACGGTCCCTGGATGCTATGCAGGGGACTAATGTCCCATTTTTCTCCCTAGATACGCCACTGCAAGCGTTGTCTTTCATTCCTTGTACGAAGTAAAAAGGAAGTATTGTAATCGCGAAAAATTTCAGATATCATATTTCAACGGAAATAGCCATTTTGACAGCTATCGAATGCAATTTAACGATGTTTTTGCATCACATCTGTACATAAGAACAGCATAAAGGACTTTTCCCCCAAAAAAATTATAAAACTGATTTAAAATGAATTTTAAAAAGATTTTTTTTCGTGGCGTCTGTACGTAAGTACGTATTTTGCATAACTTAAAAACGAGTAGCCTCAAAACGTTGAAATTTTATACATTGGACTGTTATAACATGTAACTGTGCACCTTCCATTTTGGTTGAAATCGGCCGCACCAAATGTCTCAAAGTCTCAAAATTTACCAACTGCATGAATTCTGCATTAAGGAAAGCCACCAATACATTTTACATGAACAAGCCTTTCCACCCCCTGCCTGCTGATATAAGAAATAATATTAAAGAGAAAAACCGACTCTGTAAAAGATGGAAAATTCAAACGTGAATTAAATTTAAGAAATCAACAGAAGAATCAAGAACTTCAAAAACCAAAAATGGATCACTTTCTTAAATAACCTGGCTATAGAGGATAATTCTCTATTTGACATTTCCCACAAATTCAACAAACCATAACTAATCCCACCTATCCATGGACCTAGTGGAATTTCATATACAGAAGATAAAGCTAAATCTTTTGCAGACTATATGGAGGATACATTCACTCTTAATCCCACTCCGTACGACAATAACCATATTCAACGGGTCAGCCTGGTGGTCAATAACTTCCTTAATACCTCTGCTCCGTACAACTCCACTTTCCTGACAACCCCAGCAATCGTAGCCAACACCATCAGCTCCTTACATACGAGTATTTGGAAATAAAATCCCAGGTCCTTTGAATTTTACATTCCTCGCTATGCCTAAGATGGTTGCCGATTATACAGTCAAAAGTCTTTAATCCGGACTCATCCGGAATTCGGCGATTCCGGATTATCGATTTTTACGTATTATAGATCATCAGTTTAAATCTGGTAAGATGGCATTCAGAAATTATAAAATTAAAAATATGAAACCGTAATTTATAAAATAATGAGCCATTATGATCTAAAGGGTATCAAAATTTACAAAAAAAAAAGCTTAATATTTATTTGTTTACTTTATTAAACATTTCTTTCAACGCGCGCATGCGTAAAGCATACATTACGCATAGACGAAATTAGAAAATTGCAACCAGAAAACTCTTTGATGTGTATTTGTGATATTTATAATGACGAGGAATTTGATTTAAATTCATATCAAAGACGGAGTACATCGAGATGAAATACTACATTTAGTAAGGAATTATAAGCCAAATAAAATAAAAACATCTGCCTGAAGATAAGGATAGTGCTGACAGATCAACTTCCAGTTCCATTGCGCGCCGCGACGTCCCCCCCCCGCGCAGAGCAGAGTGAAATTGATAAACAGATTTCGGAACGGTTAAATAAACAAAGGATATACCTTTGTCCATTTTTGTAGCAATTCGTTTTTTGTTTGATGGACATCGAAATATACTTTCGTTTTCTAGATCCTTTGGAAGCTCCAGCATCGGAAATTCTATTTGACATAATGGAAAGTTCAAGCTTACTTTTATAAAATTGCTCTTACAGTCTGCAAAAAGTAATAAGCCGGATCCAATTCGAAGATTAAGGAACAACGCAATCATCAACATTAACTAAATAGATAATTTTAGCTTATACCATTCGTTGTACATTAAACGCGCGCGCGAAAACGTATTCTGCGCTTGCGCAGACGCATATGCGCAGTCGTAAATGTCTTGCGCGCACGCGTAAAACGCCTATGAGCATGCCTCAATGCGCCGGCAAAAAATTTTAGCTTTGAGGTCCGAATTAACGACTTTTGACTGTATTAGCTCCTTAAAACCGCAAAAAAACGCTCCAGGTGTTGATGGTATTTCTACCAAAGCGCTGAAACATCTTCCTATCAATGTCTTACTAAGATAATCAACTCTATCGTCAAATTCTCTTACTTTATGGACACATGCCATCAATATTAATTAATGGAAACATGCCATCATCGTCGTCTTCACAAAACCGCATCAAAATTCAACGTTTCCACAGAACTACCGCCAAATCAGCCCTTCTCAGTGAACTTTCGAAAGTAGCTGAAAAAAGTATTCTATATCTTAATCAAATTATTCCACAGAGCTCCTACATTCCAGAAGTTTGACTTCCGTCATCTTCAAAGTACTAATTACCAGCTACTTCCTGTCATCAACTCCCCTTAGGCAGTTTGCCCTCGTGAGCTTTGCCATAATTAAATACACCAACACCACACCTGTCATCAACTATATTACTGACGGCTTCAACTCTAAGCTCCCTACCGGAACCATTTTCCTTGATATTGCGAAAGCTTAATAGGGTATGGCACCGGGGACTTATATCCAAACGTATCAAGTTAAACTTCCCAAGCATTGTATTAGACTTATTACTTATCTCCAAGACAGAATCTTTGCAGCGAAAATTGGCAGCTGACTGACTCACTGATAAGCTTTTTGCCAGAATACCGCGGAAACATGGCAGTTTATCTGGCTGGATTGAGAGTAATGCCTAATGGGCGCAATAACGTGTAGCTATCCTGAAACAATCCTATCCAAGAAGGGTCGGGAAGATACCGGAAACATCACCGGTTGAGAGTGCTGCCATCTGTTGATCATTTGGGAAGCTAGCCTAAAATGTATAGGTAGGTTTAGTGAACTGCATATGTGGCGTTATATGTTGGGCATCATCTAAGTATAACTGAAAAGAGATATTAGGGTTAACAGTCATCTCGGGTTATTTGGTAGTTTTGTTTCTACCACGAGAAAAATGTTTGCTGGAGTGCCCCAAGTATCTGTACTTTCACCATATTTATATAACATTTACATTTGCGATATTCCTAAAGAACCACAAATTACCATTGCTCTCCGATGATAATGCAATTATGACCCAAACTTCTACTGTTACTGTTGTCCAGCTCTTTCTTCAACATTACTTCAAACATCTAGAAAATTTGCACACTCTTTGGAGGATTGCAGTTAATACTGAAAAATCAAAAGCAATAATTTTTCGCAAAGGCAAACTAATTTCACACCACCTAAACCTCTTCTGTTTGATGAAGAAATTGACTGGGTTAAATATCTAGGAGTCATTCTTGATAAAAAATTGACTTTTCAGAAACATTTCAGGGAAACTGTGAAAAAAATTAATATCACGCTTTGCAACTATGCACCCACTTCTTGGCAGAAGAAGTCATATGCCAGCTTCTAATAAACTCCTTCTTATATAAATCTATACTTCGACCAGCATTACTCTACGCTAGTCCTGTCTGGGGCCACGCTGCCGAAACTCACGTTCAAAACCCATCCAAGTTCTTCAAAACAAAGCACTCAGAGAGATTATCAACGCGCCATGGATTCATTCCAAATTCGTATATCCCACCGTGATTCTCAAAGTATAGAAACAATTACAAGATTATATTCAAAAACTTGCCAGAAATTTCTTCTCTTCAGTTCTGACTCATCCTAACTACTGCATCAACTCTCTTAGATGTTCCCCACTTCCCAGAGAAAAGGACAAATATCCATCTGACATTCTCTATCCTTAACATTTTTTACTCATACTAGATTCTTTAATTCATTGATTTATACCTTCAATTTCCTAAATAACCTAGCTATAGAGGACAATTCCCTATTTGACATTTCTCGCAAATTCAAAAAACCTTATAAACCTATCCCACTTATCCATGGACCTAGTGGAATTTCATATACAGAAGAAGATAAAGCTAAATCTTTTGCGGCCTATATGGAAGATACATTCACTCTTAATCCCGCTCCGTACAACAATAACCATATTCAACGGGTCAGACTGGTGGTCAATAACTTCCTTAATACCCCTGCTCCGTACAACTTCACTTTCCTGACTACCCCAACAATCGTTGCCAACACCATCAGCTCCTTACAAACGAAGAAAGCCCCAGTGCACGATGGCATCTCGACCAAAGCACTGAAACATCTTCCGATCAACGCTCTTACCTGCCTAACTAAGATAATCAACAACATTATCAAATTTCGCTCATTTTCCTAACTCATGGAAGCAAGCTATAATAATTGTTTTTGCTAAACCGCAACAAAATCCCACTTTCCCACAGAACTATCGCCCTATCAATTTACTTAGCCATCTGTCTAAAGTTACTGAGAAAAATCTACTTTTACACATCCAAAAAATTCATCCTTCCATGAATTTGCTCCCAGAAAACAATTCGGTTTTCGTAATCATCATAGCACTTGCCACCAACCTCTTAGAGTTATCAACATTATCACTGAAGGCTACAACTTCAAGCTTCCGACCAGTGCTATATTCCTCGATATCGCGAAAGCTTTTGACAGGGTATGGCATCGAAGTCTTATTTACAAACTTATCACTCTCAATTTTCCAGATCATTTTATTCGCTTAATAGCCTCTTTTCTCAGCAACAGAATGTT